AACAATTACGGGCAAGTACGTGTTAGCAAAAACCACCTCAGGACGCGACTGGCTGCCAGGCATCGCAGGCTGACCTCCGCTCAATGGCTTTGTACCGCTTTCTTCGATCTCTTCGCACATGTGGGTGCCCTGCTTTCAATTGCTTTTTAAATAGAAAACCAATAGTAAACCAATAGAAAACCAATACAAAACCAGTAGAAAACCAATCAAAACCAATAACAACCAATAAAAACCCATAAACACCAACAACCACCCATAAAAACCAATAGAAATCCAGTTTTCTATTGGTTTTCTATTGGTTTTCTCTTGGTTTTCTATTGGTTTGCTATTGGTTTTCTATTTGTTTTCTCTTGGTTTTCTATTGGTTTTCTATTGGTTTTCTATTGGTTTTCTGTTGGTTTTCTACCGGTTTTCCATTTAAAAACCAGACCGGTGCATCCAGGCATGTTTCCGTGCTTTTGTTGTTATGAGATGCTGTTGCGAGACACAATGCCGTTGGATGCCGAGGTCCCAACCGAATGACGATGCAACAGCCGACCTGATCGACCGTGTCTTGGACCGAAGGATCGAGGGACCCCCTCATGACATCTCATGACTCATGATGACATCAACATGACAAAAATCACCATGTCATGTAGGAGATGGAAAGACAAAGCATAAGCCACGCCGCACAAAGCGAGCTCCACATGTTCCTGTCCAAGGCATCCGGTTGCTGCGATGGGCAGTCGCCATCCGTGTGATGCCCAACTGAAGGTCTCGCGCTGCAATGACCACTTTTCTCGCTCAGCTCCGGCTTTCAGCTTTGCTCACCTTCGTCAAATGGATACAGCTCTTTGGTGTACCGCTCCTTGTTTTCCACGTAGCCTCAGCGTAGATTTCTCTACTAGCCTATGTTATGTTTCTCAGTTGCGAGGGATGCTCCACTGATGCTCCACAGATGCTCCTCAATGCTCTGCAGTGCAGCCCCTACACATATGCGCTTAGCAGAACAAACGCTTGAAAACATCTGACAGCCGCGCAGACAGCGCATACAATGTTGACAAATCTGACAAATCTGACAACTGTGTGGACTCTTGTATGCCGGCTCGTTACGACGAAAGTAGTCTCCAAAAAGTGCCAGACTGCAACGTGGTCCACCGAATGCGAGGTGCGATGTGAGTTCCGAGCGCCATAGAGCGAGCTACTCGAGCGAGGTTGACAGCATGCTTGCGCACGCGACCGCTGCATACGTAGTCTTGCCAGTGTCTTGTTTTGGCACTAAGCCGTGGAATTCACCATGTGCCATCATGTGCCTGCGCGCAGAGCCCGTGCCAAGAGTCTTCGCTGCCAAAATCACTCCACAAATTCCACAAATACTGGACTCATCTGCACTGGCAGCACACAGCACCCTCTCCCACTGGGTGGGCCACTGCTTGCCGCATTCATGACAGCTGCCATCTTTGTCGGATCTGTTTCCAGATCTGCAATCCTCCGGGACCAACGAGACTTTAACGTAAAAACGCGCCCGCGTGAACCCAGACTATTCTGACTATGGCCCGCTGATGAGAATGGGGCCGTTTCGCAGGGTTGCCGCCAATGAGAGAATTGTCCGGAAAGTTTTTCCCTTCTCCAATGAAGGTGCCTTGAGCACTGCATAAACGGTCGCAAGACAGATCGAGTTTGTCTGTGTCTATCTTTACCAATTTGAACGAACGGTACTGGATTCAATGACGATGCTAGGCAACGCTTGGGAGTTGCTTGAAGCAAATTCTGCCTGCAGCAACGAAGCAATTCTTTCCAATGACCTGGAAGGCTTTGTCTTGATGAATATCAGCCAACCATCGGTTCTGCAGCCCTCAACAGTTCAGGCTCGCACAGCATTGTCCAAGATCGTGGTTCTCATGCCAATGAGGCAGTTCTCCCCTATCCGACATCCGTGTAGGCAGACCTGCATCCAGACATAGCTTCATGCAAAGTGGCCAGTACACAGAACCCCCAGTGCCTACTGTGCAGAGCCTTGCATACTGCAGCCGGCAGAAATTGCCAGACAGACAAGCCGTGACAATCCCAAGAAAACGTACGGGCTGTGCGCTGCACCCAGTATGAGCCGACGGCTCGGCACCCTCCATAAACAGCATCAGGCAGCAATCCGGGAACTGTTGCTCAACTTAAGGAAAGAAAACTCCTGCAGCTCAATGGCAAAATACAAGTTCGCTTCGGGCTGGACCGAAATTCAGAAATTCTCAGAAAGACCGCCACCTCCGTTCCCGCCACGAAAGAAGATTCTCTATTGTATCTCTATTGTTGTGGCCCACCAACCAATTTTGCATGGAGATGGGACCGAGGTGCTAGTTCATCCGTCTGAAGGCGCTGCAGCCGCAATCCAACTGATCCAACTGCGGCTGCTACTACCCTGTTGAAGTCGGCGTGCGCGCATTCATTCGGTTCCCGTACGTGCTGCGCAAGTTACTTGGAAGGTCGGCCCTATGCCAAACAGGTTGCTCGAACAGCGAATGGCCGTGTAACGCCGTTGTGGTTGCGGTGCTGGGGATATCTCTTCCAATGAAAAAAATCAGTAACTGCACGATCATGCTTTAGTCAGAGGCAGAACTCTCAAGACAGTTGAAGGCGTTCGACACCGTATCGTGCCCATCTGGATGGCGATTCTCTGCAATTCTTGGCACGGCTGTCGGTTTGGGAGCGCCCACTCGTTGAATCTCGCAAGTGATGGCAACCGCTTCGGGCATGTGATTTCCAAGTCTCCCTAACTCTTCAAGTTGTTCTGTCCCCAATTGGTCCCGGCCTGGTGGCCGACGAGACAATTTCTTCCCACAATCAAGGGTTTGCCAGGATCACAGTGCAGCACTGAATTGTCCTCCCGAAGCGATTGCAGGAACTAAGGAACAAAATTACACATGCACCTTCGAGGAACTAATGGAACGGGCCAGGAACCACTTGAAGCTCACCGACATGCTGGATGAACAAATGTCCTGAATATCAGACCCTTCGCCGATGGTAATCACTTCGTTGTCTCCTCAGAACCACGATTAGATGCAGTTGCTGTGACTGTGATTTTGCAGTGTATTGGAATCTGTCTGCACTGCAGCACGCTCAACAGCAGTCCAAAGGCCTCGAAGTGTGCAGTTAAACCAGACGCTTGCATCTTTTCTCAAGGTCACCGTCCCAATGATAGACGCACCAGGAGCAACATATGCACCTCGGCTAGTCCCGGCCCACGTAGTCAAAAGTCCGGGCCAATTGCATAGAGGCGCTGGGATGGATGTGTGGATGGCGGGTTCCCAGACACCAAATGCCAGGCTTTTCTTCCAGCCTGTGCACATGGAACATCTACTGCTGCATAATCTAGCATGGTTGAAGTCTCGACTGCGGAATAGACCGCCTCCCTCCAACTTTGCTAACCCTCGTTCCCAGGACCGACCCTGGTCCACATGCGGACTGAACAAGTCAACTCGCATCCATAGGCACGAAAGGATTGCCACCTGCGACGGCCTGTCCAAATCCCAACTTCAGTTTGCTCTAAGCCAGATGCTGAAAAGATGACAGCTACGGTCCACCAATAACAGTCCGCTGCTTTGGGAAACATGAGGAACCCCCTCATTCCGTACTCAAAAACTTTATGTTCCCGTGTGCTAATGGTCTCGCCCTGTGTTGGTTTGAGCGCAGGTCCACCAGCTGAAGAGGGCGGCGATTTGAGCGCAGGTCCACCAGCTGAAGAGGGCGGCGATGGGCCACATTTGCTATGACTGCATACAACTGTACAAGAAGCCCTCCACAGAAAACGCCAGACAGAAATGTCATTGCTCCTGCGCGAGCGAAGGCCTGCTTTGCAGCTGCTGCATGCGGCCGGCCACCTTTTTCAGCGCCTGTTCGGCCTTTTTTCGCTTCTCCCGCTCCTGCGCACAGATTGTGCAGCTACATGCTTTCACATCTTTTTGGCCACAGACAGTTGCATCAAAAAACGGAAACACATTAAAAAGCTGTATCCTGAAGCACCAAGCGAGTCAAAGCTTCCAGCGTTGGTTGCTGAAGATCTATGTCGGCATCGTCATCGTCCGCCTGAAAGGGGTTCCAAAGCGACTTCCGTTTTGACTTAACGTATGCAATGAGCAATAATGAGCATGCAAGAGGGTAAACCCAAGTGTCTCCTGATCCAACTCCAGCTCCAGATCGCCCTTTTGAACGGCCCGTCGACCTTCATCACACGCGGCTTCTTGCCTAGGACACGGGTGAGCGTGCAGTACAGTCGAGATGAACCGGGTCTGAGGAGGCAGCTCTTCCAACTCGTCGAAGTCCATGATGGCACGAGAATGCCACGAAACTATGTTCAACGATGCTGCTAACAGTGGTTTTGATCAGTCCAATTTTGGGGAATTTGCATCTGTCACTGCTAGGCCTGCTAGGCCGCTGGTAAGACCAGCATGTTACCTTCCGTTCAAGCCTAAGCGACTGCTGGAGACAAGAATGGCGGAGCGTTCATGAGTGTTAATGCGCCGTGAAGGCATGCAGTGTCATGTTTGCACAGCACGTCTGCCAGTAGCATTTGCGCTGCACATTGGCGAAGAAGCGTCCTACGCCTGGCCTTCGCCAATCCAGAAGGGACAACACTCTCCACACCAAAGGTCCCGTCCTGCTTGCTCACTCTGATGGAAGAGGTGGCAAGGCACACAAGATTGTTCTCGGATCTTCCTTCTCACCCAGGCCATCATCCCCTTCAGCGAACTGCTCTTGGTTGTCCACTTGCTGACATTGAACTCGCCAGCATCGGCAGCAGCCTTTGCCCAACAAACCTTAAAACGGTTTCCGGGATGAACGATCTTCTGCACTTGCGCGCCTTCTCGCACATGGCCAACCTGTCTGGTGGCCCCCAAGCCCTGTCAGATTCGCAAAGTATGTTCCTCAAGTCGGTATGCATCTCTAGTGCAAAGATCCACCAATCCAATCTGATCTACAAAGGCAACATCCAACCTTATTCGCGTTCCTCGCCGGACATCAACAATCAGCCCAGCAGGCGCTGGATCGGATGCCTGCAAGCACTTCGCTACATGATATATCTCTATTGTGAATCAGTACGGAGAAGCACAACATTGCAGCTTCCTGACGAGGTTTCGTTTTTGCTTTGCCATGGCTGCAAGATGTCTTAGCGTTGCTGTGACTCGCATATCATCGCATATCCTACGCGTAGCTCGTGCAACGAGGACAATGCGGACGCTGCAAACAAAGAACACCTCCAGCTTTGGTGTTGTTGTTGCTCAGCCGTGGCTGACAACTATTGTCAGCATGAGGTGGAGGTGTTTCTGCACAACCGCGGTAATATTTATATCCCACATGTATCTCGTGCAGCCAGGGCAATGCGAGAAAGAAAACTGCAGCCTTGGTAGAAGCATTGTTCGTTGTTCAGCCGAGGCTGCAAGACTCCCTTTCAGCCAGGGCTATGCAAAAAAGCGCATGAGCGGAGGTGGAGGTGTTTTTGCATTGCCATGGCTGCAAGAACTTCGTATAACGCGCATGTCCTGCATGTAGCTCGTTCAGCCGGACAGTGCAAACGAAAAACACATCCAGGTTTGGCAGAAGCGCTTTTCCAGGGCCACACAAAAAAGAACAAACACCTCCAGCAAGGTCGCTTGTGCATTGCCTTGGCTGTAAAGTTCTTTTGCATAACCACGGCTTCCACATGCTATACAGTACATTTTTCTGACTGTTCACAGCCTCCACATGCTGCAAACTACAGCATTTCTGATAGACCCTTACAGCACAGCATTTCTGCTCCAAATGCTGCACATTGCATCATTTCTGATCTTTCACTGGCTCCAACTACTCATCACAGTATTCCTGATTGTTCACAAGCTCCAAAAACTATAAAGCACAACTCTGCATCCACCCCTTCAGGCATATCGAACTTCAAACTTGTGAGACACCCGTCAGATCCCTTCAAAAACTCAATCGAGGGAGTGCTTTGGACTTTTCAGACCTTTCCACTTACAAGATGTCGTAATCGCATTCCTGCAGTTCGGGGTCTGTGGCCGTATTCGTGTTTTTGCGCATTGAGGTTCTGAGACGCGATGGGGTTGCAAGTCCACACACTCAGGCTCAGTCTGAGGCTCAGTCAGAGGCTTGCGTCCGGTCCTAAGTCTTCAAGTCCTTGCCGCAATGAAACGATTTTGCTAAGCAATCGCGAATCTGGGATTTCGGCCGTGGGCAACATAGGGCCGCAGTTCCCTCGGGCCTCCCAACAAGTTCTGGCCACGCGGTAACGCCTTGTAGCTGAAAAGCGCAGAGTGAATCAGAATATGATAGAATATGCAAGGAGCCTGCTGGACGAGACCTCGCAGTCGCCTGCACCATCCCGCCGATGCCTTGGCCCAACATGGTCTAAAATGAGCTAAGAAAACTTGTTCAAGTCGCTTCTTGTTGATCTTCTCCGGCCTCGCGCAGCTCTCTCCAGCCGTCTAGCCAAGGGTGGTCCTGCGAAAGGATGCCCCACACAGGTGATGCTTCCGTAGTATGGACATTTTGGAGCAACAGAAGCCGAATCATCCTAAGGGCTAGATTTTGCCTGCGGCCATGGGCCAGATGTCGAGCAAAAACCGAGTTTGCGAACTGAGCTTTCTGCGACTGATGCCGGCAGATTGGCTACCGTATCGAGAAGTACCAGAAGGATGTCACAGAGCAGGAACAACAAAACAAACAAGGCATCAAAAAACTTTTGTGAAGCCATCACGGTCATGGAGATCAATGAAGATCGTGGCCAAGGTCGCAGGGAATGTGGAACTAGGAAAACCATAGTAACCGTAACAGTAATCGCAGTGATAGAAATGTTTACAACGGCAAGAATTCTAAAAAATAGTGAAAGTAACCGTAGTGAGTTATGGCGATCGATAAAAAGAAATTCTCAATCAAAAGCTAGCAGTCACTAACTAGATCTAATGTAATTATTCAGTCATTAGTAACTACAGGACCCCCAGGCCTGGCACTCGGGCGTGAAAAATGTGTCTCTCGCGCCAATCGGGAGACACTTGCAGCAGATACGGTACTTTGTGACGCTTGGATCCTATCGGGTGCGGAGAGGTAACCTTCAATCTCTGTGTGCGACGGTGGTCCACGTTTTCCCCGTCAAGTCCATGTACTTGTGTGGGCATTTTGGTGTTTCCATTTCTGCAGAAACAAGTTGCTTGGTGACCTTTTGGCTCGCCTTGCTTGTTTTGTGCGTGCTTGCTGCGGTGCTAGCGTCAAAAAATCGTGAACATATCAGATGCAGTCCTCGTGCATTCCATTGCTGAATGGTGTCAAGCCTCACGAACGCCTTGCTTGAACATTCCTGTTGAGGCGCTGTCGCTGTCACATGTTGCCTTGAACAGTGTTGTGCAAGGAAGTGTGCTCTGGTGTGCTTCTCGTGTGCTCTGTATGAGACGACCGCCCAAAATTGCGTGGTTGACCTTGACTGCATGCTGGGCCTAACAAGTTGCTAAACCATTCTGGGCGGCTGCTGTGTCAAGATCGTTGTCGTGGCCTGCTCGGCACTAGAGGTCCACTTTAGACTTTTGCTAGGATGGCTGCCATTTTGTAACATGAGCACCGCAGGCGTGCCCAACAGTTCACGTTGCAAATCCCCGTGTTGACTTCCCAGCGGCTTGCCCCATGTCCTAGCTGTCTGATCCACAACGGCCTACGCAGTCCGCGTAGCGGCTCGGACTACAGTCCTCCATTTCCAGCCGTACAGGGCCCAGGACAAGCACACCACCCAATGGCGCCTGCCAACTTGCATCGGACGTGAGCGTGAGCATTCTAGCAAGCCCCGTGAACCATGGAGAAAGATTCAGCTGCTGGCTCCGTGGCGGCTTGCAAAGCTCATTGCTGCATCTCGACTCGAGAAGCCCCTCAACACGGCGTCCAGACGTGAACACACATGTACGCACACACATGTACGCACACACATACGCACACGTGTGCGGACTACTGCAACAGACGGCCTCTTCTGCACTGCAGATGCCCAGCCCTCGGCGTGGTGTTTGTAGCAGATGTCGCACAAATCATAATCACAACCTGCGCCGAATGCAAACATCCCCACCAGTTTTTGACAGCGCGTTTTACGGTGTTTCGTATAGCCTGTATCTATTTGGTTCCGTCTCCAGATCACAGTCTCCCCCAAAACCAAAAAAGCCAAAGACAAATGGAAGACTAGTCCCCCAGGTCCGGGTCATAGCATCTCAAACTTTTGTTTTTGTTGGTTTTTGTTGTTGTTGAGTGAGTGAGGTTTTTGGTAACAAAAACCTAAACCCTAAAAAACACACAAGACATGGGAGACTAGTTCCCTATGTTCGGGTCATCGTGTCCCATGGCGTTGCATCTTCTTGTTTGGTTCGTTTTGTATTTAGTTTCTCGAACAACTGCTGCTACCAGCCTTATTCGACACACAGAACACATACATACATGATGTGGGTAGTTATTCTACCTCTTCTTTGCATTCCATAGGAGGAAAGCCTTTCAAACATTGGCATTTCTTGGGAACCCGGCTTACTTTTTGATTGTAATTCTCCTCACATTTTCCTAAGAAAATGCCCATGTTTGTGGGGCTTGCCTCCTATGGGATGCAAAGAATTAGTACCAAGTGGAACCGTTGGGAGGGCGTGGGTGGGCTTGTGGATGCTTGTGGTGAATCTTCATTTTGTTGCATCACTCCATGCACGCGAGTTTTCCAAGTTCCCTACAAACAAAGGCATTTCCAACCCAGAATATCAAGAAATGATATTTGCTCACCGTACTATGCCCTCGAATACTTCTTCGTCCTGCGGCTTGAGGATTAAAATCCTTTCTTCTCGATTATCTGTACATCCTTTCTTGTCGTTTATCTGCATTTGAGATCCAATACATATTACCCTATATAAATACATGACGTGGGTACTATTGTTCCTTTTCTTTGTGTTTCCATAGGGACAACGCCTACAAACATAGGCATTTCTTCGTCACGGCTCACACATAAAAGATTTTAGACACTGAGGCTTCCCTACAAGTATATCGAGTCCATCTCCCTAGGAGATAAACATACAAAATGCCTCTTTGTTCTGTCGGGGTTGGTCTTCAGGGGGGGGGGGGGGGGGGGGGGGGCGTGACCGCATTCATCGGCGTGTATTACAACATATTTCCTAGCATTTCTAGTAGATTGTACGGTACTTCTTATACACATGTTCATCATAAATTAGATATACATGTATTTATTTCTTCATATTTGTAATTATACTGATTCTTCTTTACTTTCCATTTATACTTATTTTTGATATTGTTGTGTATACGCCGTATGTATGTGTACGTTGTTTATATGTATGTAATTACACACTTTGTACTGCTTGTGAATCGCCGTTGCTGTTGGTAATTAGTGGTGGTGTGGGTGGTAAATGGTGTTGCTGATGCTGTTGTTGTTGATGATGATGGTGATGATGAAGTTGGTTCAGGTGGTGTCATTGGTGTGCTTTCGAGATTTTCCGCCTGCAGTCGTCGAGCCAGGCGTATCGTTCCACTGGCGTGCTTGAGTCTCATGAGGCTTGCATGGGCTTGCGGTCGATCCGAACTTCAGTCGAATTCATGCCAGATACGCATCCTCAGTCAACGCTCCGCACAAGTCACTGCAACGATTCCCAACCCCAAAATGTTCGCGAGTTCCTGAGGAATTTTCAGTAAACTGCCATCTGCGCGTACAAGTGCATTCACAGCGAGCTGGGCCGATCACTGCATGAATCGTGTTGGGACTTGCTCGGACATCAGGCTTTGATTGTCCGAGCATCTGGGCCTTTCAGTGCGTGAATGCCGTGAGCTTCGATTTATGCGAAAGCAGGTTTGGAAAGAGATCGCCAAGTTACCAAGTCCGGTGAGGCAACATGGAAGTGCAGGAAACGGAACAGCGAAGATTCCCTGTAGCATCTTGCGACCGAGATGGGTCAACCCCCAAACCCCAAACCTGAAGCCCTAGCTTCTCAGGGTGAGCAGAGGGCCTCCTGCTTCGGTCCCG